GGGAATGGACCAGGGGCCTAGGTCCTTTTCTGTGTGGATATGTCCATGGGCTTGGCTGCAAGTGAGTGCCAAGAGATGAGGAAGAACTGTGTGGCTTGCAGTGATGTTCACCCATGCTCTGTTGGTTACTGAGCATGTGCGAATATTTCTGTCTCAGTTGGCCTCCACATGATCCAGAAAGGTCTGTAGGTTCACAGAACCTGCCAGTGATTTGTGGGCAGCTCCTGAGGAAGTAGCCTTAGGCTTTATACCCACCCAGACCTGCTTCCCAGCCCCTCTTCTCACATTATTCCCTACCCACATTCTGCCCCCAAGCTCTGAACCAGTTGCCTTTCCCACTCTTACCATCAAAAATGCCCACTTACCTTACAAGATCTAATCTGAGTGGAATGGATGTCCTGACCATGTCCACCATCCCTAGGATAGGGTGGGTAACCCTTCACAGCACCTCAGCTGCACACTGTCCTTTATTCTCTCGAGACTAGGCTTATTGGGACACAGCAGCTGAGTGCTAAAGCCTTGCCTGGCACAGGAGTGGCTCATTACCATTTGTGGGACAGATGAGTAAAAGGAGAGCCAGGGGCAATGCAGTATCGCTGGCTATCAGAGTGTCAATCTGGTAACACCGTGCCACCACCTGGGGTAACAAAAGTCTGGGGAGTACCCAAGTGATTAACAGGGTAGAAGCAGTCCATGTGGATGGATGAAAACATTCGTTAGAAGAAGATGGTCTAACTTTTATTGTCCCTGTATGCTATCTGGAGTCCATGCCTCTGATTCGGGTGTTGGAGTCTTGTGGTGATGCTCTAGGTGGGACACCTGAGGGGCTGGTAGTCATGAAGGTAGAACCCCTGTGAAGAGATTAATGCCCTTATGGGAAGAGACAGAGAGATGACCCCCTGCTTTGCTGTGTGGAGAAAAGATGGCTCCAAGTACTTGGCTACACTCTGATCTAAGGGTCGCTCCAGCTTCTGGAGTTGTGATAAATGCATGCCACTTGTCTAAGCCACCCAGTCTACCATGCTTTGATGTAGCCACTTAAGCAGAGTCAGCCACCATGTGTAGCACTGTATGCTCATACCCACTGACTTCAGGGCACATACCCCCACCCCCAATGAGCAGCTTATGGCCAGGATAACCCTCTCAGAGCCCTTTATACATGCTTTGACCCATAATTTCCCCTTTCACACTGGAAGTCAGAGCTGGCAGCATGTGAGTAATACTGCCTTAGGCCTCCCAGACAAGTGAGGCCCTTCTAGAACTTTTTTGTACCCTTCCTATCAGATCAAGGGGGTCCCATTGGCTCAGAAGGCCCTCATAGAGTAGAGTTGAAATCCAAGTTTTGGAAGAAAAGTGTAAGGATTATCCTTTGAGGATTTGTGTGGTCTTGGCCCCTCTGTGCATATGCCTGAGAGGAGCCATCTATTGCAGGGCATGAAATGAAGATGAACTTTTAGGACCTGTGACCTCTCACACCCATCGCTAGCTCTCAAACACTCACATGACTTGGTAGACTTTACTCTATGGGAGCATCATTCCTGGTACTCTGCTGGACAAGCTGTTCCCAGCATTAACCCTGAGATTCACCAGGGAAAAACCAGTCCCACCATTTTGGGCCAAATTAAAGCTAGCGCTATTAAAATTTTATATACTGAACAAGATGGAATTTGGTCAGGACAGATCCTTGGAAACTTGAAGCTGAGAGTGGCCCCAAGACACATGTCATCTGGGCTTATAAAGACAAAACCCTTAGGCTCCTGTACTTTCCCATAAGGCTTTGTTGTTTTCAAGAACTATGTCTCCCAGCATTCCAGGAAGTTACCTGATCCTTGGGCAGATGGGGTTTACAGATTAATTTAGGGTATAACACCAGGACTCTTTCTGTAGGGAGGAGTGGACAAAGGCATCCAACAGATCTAGATAGTTGGCTGACTGACCTCTGCTGTGCTCTTCTCTTTGGGGGGGTGTAGCCCCCTGTTCCTGTGTGTCCCTGTCTTGTCAGGTGGAATGTTTGTGTTGACTTGATCCTATATCTAACCTGCTGATCCTCTAGCTAGACATCTTTCCCTCCTTCCTTTCTGCTTTCTGATGTCATCTGAAGGGAGGTCTGTTTTCTCCTCCGTTTGATTGTCTTGTGAGTGTATCAGGGTTCCCTCCCACACCAGTTGGTCCATAGGTGTCAAAGCACTTTGCTCTGCCATGTGAGGAATTAAGACCACTGACTTTATATAGAGAGCAGGACTCTGCTTCCTGAAATCCTATGAGGTCAGAGGCCTAGTGATCCTCATTCTGTGTGATTGTGAAAAGGGGTGTGAAAAGAGGTACTATGACCTACACTGTCACTAATGACTCTTTGAAACCTGAAAGGTGAAGGCCAGTCAATGCAGAAAATCACAACATGGTCAAGGTACCAAGAGCAGAGCAGTCAGTTGTCAAAGGGATTTAATCTCTCCCTCTCACGGTCAGTGGGAGAGGCATCATGTTAATCTCCATCCTGCACAAGCATTGTGATGTCTGGATTTGTGTGGTCAGGAAGACAGCAGTGCCTACTGAGAAGTCTTCCACTTTATTTTTGGTTTGAGATGTAGAGGGGAAAATCCAGGTTTTGTGAGAGCTTTAGGCCTAACTGCCTTTGGAAAATGGGTCTGGAGTCCCTGTGTATTTAAACAGCTTTAAAAGATTGCCCTATTCTATGTAGCTAGTTAATTAGATTCTCTCTGATGACTCATGTTGGAGCACCTTGGCTCTCATCATGGAGTGAGGTAGTGTGTGGGCTTCCCAGCAGAAGCATACTTGCCCTGGAACCAAGGGTCCACCTGTGGCCTGGGACTCAGTGTAAGATGACCTAAAGCATCGAATTACTGGCAGACCCTTGCAACCAGGTCTGACCATCTTGGTTCCTTCCCAGGAGCAATTGCCTGTGGAAATTGTTCCTTTTATCTGCAGAGCTAATAAAACACTGGTGCTGCTAATGGGTTATAGTGCGGTGGGCACTGTTGTTTCTTTCGACAGACAAGAAGTGGCTGGAAGTGACCTTCTGTCTCCCTATAAGGGCTGTACTTGTTAAGTGACATTCCCTAGTGCAGCAGAGTCTGAGGTAATGTAGGCATTTGTGCTATATTTAGCACAGTATTAAATGAGTTTTCAGGCTTTTCTTGCTATAAATAGAGGGATAGGTGTATTTTATAGTATCTGCCTTGAGAGCCACTTTCTGACCTAGGCGGTGCTGGGACAGTGGAGATGCACAAGGCCAGTGGCTGGCAAGAGATCCAGAGCTGAGTGTAGTCAAGTCCATCCCAGTGTCAGCCTCATGGGCATTGCCTGCTGTGGGGTCCCATCTCCATCCTGGGCCATGTGGCTCCCATCCTGTCCAATGGTGTGAGGTTAGCTAAGGGCCCATGTGTACCTCACTATAGCCCAACATCTTCCCAGACAGTCCATCTGTCATGGAACATTGCACTCAATTCACTAGTGCAACACTGGGGCCATGTGTACACTTAGCACATTCAGACTTAGCACACTCAAAGCTGTCGGAAGAGTCTGAGAAAACACCATCATGAGCCTTGCTCCTGAGACCCTTGCTCAGGGTGCGTGTGTGGGGGAGCATAAGTCTGCATTCCTCCCACAGATGGAGGTAATATGGGACCTCTGGTTGATGTGAACACACACACACTAACCTCTTAGAAACAGCCTTTTAGTCATTGATCTACAGCACCTGCTGAATGCAGAGGAAGAAGCCCCTGAAATGACTCCATGTGAAGAAAAGTACAGGCCAGCATACTGCTACAAGGCACAGAGATTATAGCCAAGACCCAGGGAGCAGTTCTGGGACAACTGAGGTGCAGCTGTGGACAGTGGGTGGTCTAGAATACTAAGGTTTATCATGCAACTGGTCCCCCAGCATTGCTCCTGCCATGTGCCTTGCTGATTCATTGATGATGTCGTCATAAACAGGAGAGTTATATTAGTTCCCCTTTTTCCCCCACTATGACAAAACACCTGACAAGGAGCAGCTTCAGGGAGGAAGCATTTGTTCAGGCTCACAGTGTGAGGGGACACAGTCCATCATGGTGGGACATAGTGACAGCGGAAGCTTGAAGCAGCTGGTTGCAATGCAGACTTTGTGTTGCATCTGCAGTGAGCAGGGCTGGGCTATAAAACCTCTGACTCAACTTTTCCAGTAAAGTTCCTGCTCCTCACAGCTCCACAGCCTGCCCAAATGGAAATGTCCAAACCCACAAGTCAGTGGGGAACATTTTACATGTAAATCCAACCACACTGCTAACCCCAGGATGTCCTCTGTACTGTGTTGCCTGCCAGGATTGGATACAGCATACCCAAATACTCAGTGTTTGTTGAATTAAAATATCAGGTGATTAGGTTTCTGAGGGACCTTGGCCAGTTCTGTAGACTGTGACAATCCTGCTGTTAACTGTGATTCCATGTTGAACACTTAGCAAGACCTGGGTCCTCCACTAGGCACTTACAGACATTAGCTTGTTTATTAAAATTAAAACTAAGTCAGGTATATGATATATACTCATTGTTGCAGCACTCGCGAGACTGAAGCAAGGGGATCATGAGTTCTAGGATAGCCTAATTTATATAATGGATTTCAGGCTACCCTAAGCGATTAGTGAGACCCTCCCTCAAAACTCAACACCAAAATAAACAAAACTTCTCTAAGGTAGTTAGGAACTCCATAATATATGAAACATCTCAAAAGGGTGGGTGTTTGCCCCGGGTCTGCAGTGGACCTGGGATCTTGAACTGAGCTTTTTATCTCCACGGCAGAGAGGCTTTGTTCTCCGGGGTGACCTTCTCTCCATTGGTCCTAGTTGCCTGCTGTTGCAAACTCATTGGCTTGAGATTTGAGGCTTCCCGAGGTATGGTCACCCTTCTGAAGAGCACAGCTCTGGCTCCAGGCCTTCTCAGATGGAGTGGCACACTCTAGAGTTTGCTCATGGGCTACTCACACATTGTCTCTTCTCTGTCTCCAGCTCTCCTGTATGCCACCATCTTTGGGAACGTGACAACCATTTTCCAGCAGATGTATGCCAACACCAACAGGTATCATGAGATGCTCAACAGTGTCCGGGATTTCCTGAAGCTCTACCAGGTGCCCAAAGGGCTGAGCGAGCGGGTCATGGACTACATTGTGTCCACCTGGTCCATGTCCCGAGGCATTGACACAGAGAAGGTAAGCAGTGGGAGACCCTTAGCCACACCACCTGTCCCCTAGCTTTCCCCAGCGGGCTGGGCTCACAGCTCACCTGGGACATCTGGGATTCTCAGGTCCTCCTTCCAGGGGTTTTTACATCCTCTCTGTTGTTCTTAACAAGGGACCAGAAAATAAGAGCCATCACTTAAGAAATCAAATCATGGAGTGAGGGGGACAGATATCCTGCTGTCTAGGGTAACTTCCCAAAGTTGGATCATGATAAAATGAAGAGCCTGGGCAGGGGAAGCTGCTTCCTTTTTCCCCAGATGGTTCCCTGCTTGCCAGCTGATTTTCTTAAAGAACCATTGCATTGGGTATGACTTGCCTTGCTTATTTTTGATCTCCTGATTTGGCATGTCCTGCGGCCACTCTCTCACATTCCTCTCCCTCCTCTCAGTTCTGATAAGAATCCCAAGGTGCTGTCATAAAACTAGACTCCTGACCCATGAGCACCAGGGGTGGTGGACAGGGTCAGTAATTACCCTGGCTAAGACTGTACCTCAGACAAGCCCAGGCAATCCTGGCACACATCAGCTTAGCCATCAGCTTGTGGCTGTGTTGGACTGTGTGATCCAGAGAGTAGCACACCGGCCTGTGCTTGGCTGTTCTCCAACAGTTGTGTTATTCCAGATTCGTGTCAGTAAAGTGCTGAAATGTGTGTGGTTTCCCAAAGAGCAAAGATACAGAGGGCTAATTTGTGAATTATCGCTGTGCCTCCCACTCCCTTTGAGACATACCAGGTTAGCCTGGAACTCTCTTTGTAGCTCAGGATGACATTTTCCTGTGCCTACCCACAATGTGCTGGAATAACATGTGCACACCACCACACCCACTTTCCCAAGGCCTTTACATGCTAGACAAGCCCCAAGCCTCAACCCAGCCCCTGCTCTGTGTATTACCCATGACCAAAGCCTTATCCTCGATCAGTTTCTACTTCCCTCATTGCCAAATCCTATCTATCCACTGTAGAATTAGGAAAGCGGTAACACTATGGCAAAAATAGTTATGGACACATTGAAATCCAGATTGATCCAGCTTTGGGGTCAGCCATCTCATTTCCGTCCTTCTCTATCTGAACAGATGGTTGAACGCTGACAGTTTTTAAGGAATGCTCAATTCTGCTGACCCCCCCCCCTTAAAGGCTCATTGCTTTGGGTTTGCTGTGTACCAAGATAAAAACCACGGCAGCACCAACTACCACATCTTAAACATGCACGGAGAACAGGCATTTCGCCAGGTGTGGTGGTGCACACTTGTAATCTCAGACTTGTGGGGATGGAGGCAGGGCAACTGTGAATCTGGCAAACATTTGTGGGGGCAAAAAACAGAAAGAACCAATGTTAGTTTGTATGACTGTTACCCACCATGCCTTGTGTGAGCTTTGCTTTGCCCTTGGGAAAGCTCTGTTAAATGAGGACCAGAGGCTCAGTTCATTCTTTTACTCCCCCTGGTCTAGGGTGACACCAGGATTTGAACCCAGTTTTCGTCTGGTTTCAATGCTCATATTTTTCCTTCTAGTCTTCCTCTTTTAACTTTTTTAAAGTAATGTTTTAGTGTGTGCATGTGCATAGGTGCGTGCTTATATGCATGTGTGTATGTGTGTGCATGGTGTCACAGCCTGTCTGTCTTGTGTGTTTGTTTCTTCCTGTCATGTGGGTTTCAGGGATTGGCTTCAGGCCCTCATGCTTTTAATACTGTGAGCCACCTTGCAGGCTCCGCCTCATCTGGATGTGAAGTGCACCCTAGAGGGACAGAGGATGAGGTTCAGGCCTCCCGGATGGGCAGGGCCTGGGTTGGCTTCTTGACCCCTGGCTTTGCCAGCTCCAGGCCCCAGCTGTGCCTGTTGTCCCTGCTCATCACTGGCAACAATGCCTGCTGGTTCTGTGGGTGCCTGGCAGCTGATGGGGCAGAAAGAACTTTGATCTCTGCCCTGAAGCTCCTTTTTCCCAGGCACTAGAATGACTGTGTAGATCGGGCTGTCTGGGAGAAGTCCTTCCCTGTCTCCATCCCTGCAGGGTGGGGCAGGGGGACCGCCTGGGACACTGCTCTGTCAGCACTGCATTCCTGCCCTGCTACCTGCTCGCCCTGGAGGGTGCTGGGATCCACCCACTTCCTGGCTCCTCTCAGGGCAGAGAAAGGAGGCTGCAGCAGGTGCAGAGAGAGGCAGCACTGGACTCCATGTTTCCCTTGTCCCTCCAGTCACCAAATGGTTACCTTGAGCACTTCTGTGTCTCTCTTCCCCCAGTTCCCGTGTCTAGAACACACCGAAGTGAGGTGACCTCGAAGACCACGTGGCCTCTATGGCCTTTGGGCTAGCTATGACCTCCTGGACCATAACAGCTGTGTAATGGCATTAAATAAGGACCCACAAGTACCTAGGTACCAGATGTTTTAATACAACAGCATGTGAAATCTCACAAAACCCCCACACACAAAAAGGAAGACACGGCCCTGGGAGCTAAGCATTGTTCAAGTTCACACATGCAGTGTATGCTGGGAACAGGACTGAATCCAGAGCCTCAACCTTGCCCAACCCAGGGGAGGCTTTTCCAAGCTCACAACTCTCCAGAGTCATCTCAAAGCCTGGCAATTCAGAGGGCAGCCCTGGGAGGCTGTGGGTCAAATGGCTGAGCCCTGCCTTCAGAGAGAGACACAATATCTCTGCTTATTCCAGTGTAGAACTTGCAGATGGGAACGAGACACTGCACAGCACAGAGTCTCCCATCCTTCTCTTCAGACAGCCTACACACACACACACACACACATACACACACACACACACACGCGCACATGCACACACACATTCACACACACATTTATACACACATTCACACACATTCACACACACACCATTCACACACATTCATACACACATCCACACATATTCACACACACACACATGCACACACACATTCACACACACATATTCACACACACACCATTCACACACATTCATACACACACCCACACACACATCCACACACATTCACACACATATTCACACACACACACCATTCACACACATTCATACACACATCCACACATATTCACACACATTCACACACACACACACACACACACACACACACACACATTTTTCATGGTTTTGAAATCAGTGTCCTGGAAATGATCTCACCTCCTGGTCAAACCCTTGTGCAGGCAGGAGCCTAACTCAGGGAAGCAAATATTCGGATGTGAACTTACTTGGAGAACCTAACTGCTATTGGGTACTGCATGGACATGATGTGTGTGATCCACACGGAGAAAACCCTTGGGTCAGCACTTTTGCAGCAGTCTCGTGTGTCATGATCTCTCTGCCAAGGCCTTGTGCCTCCACCCCTCCTCCATGCATTCTCCCCAAGAGACACTCATGTTTTGGCCATCCTACAGCCCAGCACAGGAACGCAGAGGCACCCAGAGGCATGGATGTATCTCAGACGGGTGCAGCGTCCCTTAGTTTTGGAGTCAGTGTTGGTAGTCTGTACTTCACAGGAGAGTCGAAGCACTGAGTAGTTAAGTTACTACTCAGTAATGGGGGAAGGGGGTCAGCAGTCATGTGACCTCTCTCCACCCACTGCTCCACCTCCACGTAGACACTGAAGGGAGGGTGTGAAGCCATTTAGGGCAAGAGCTGATCTGATCTGGGCAGGCTGTTGCGGAAGCCCCCAATGCAGAGGCAAGTGGCTGGTGCTAGGAAAGGAAGTCCCCCAGCAACACAAGAAGTAGCCACTGAAAGATCACCCTTGATTCCATACCTCCTACCTGGTTTACAGAATAACACAGGGAAAAAAAAAAAAAAAAACGTTTTAAAAATACTGCTGACTTTTCTGGAAAAGCCCACTGGAAAGTGTCCTGTCATGTCCCTTAATGTTTGCCATAAAAGATGTGCAGTGGTTTCTTGCAAACACTTCGTCCACAGAAATACCTTTTGCTCTGAAAAGCTGGTCAATTTTTCAATTGTTTAGGGGAGAAAACAAAACAAAACAAAACAAAAAAACCCGACATCCATATGCCTTGCTGTTCCTAGTTTGTTTTTTAAATGGTGCAACTCAGGACTGGGGACATAGCCCAGATGCTAGAGTGGTTGCTGGCATGTGCAGAGCTCTGGGTCTCCTCCTCAGTATCATGAGTGGGGGTGGGGATGCTGCCAATCAAATTGTAACCCATTAGCTTTGCAGAACTGCCTGGCATAGGAGTTGGTTAGGCTGTAACCAGGCTCTGATGCCAAACCACCTAGTGTGAAAGCTGAGATCTACTGTTTCCTGGCTGGGAAACTTTGGGCTTCCCTGTATCTCAGCTTCCTCATCTGAACTCACAGAATTAAAAGCACACCCTAGAGTTTCTGTGGGGACCAAATTAGCAAACACACTTTCAAATGTAAACACTTCCATTGTTCTCTGTCCTTTCTGTCTTCTTTGTTGTCCTCAGTGATTGCTACCAAATTTTATTCATTTTGCTTGTCATTTGCCTCCTCTTGCTAGATGTAAATTCCACAAGAGCACATATTTTTGTCTACTTGTTTGTTTTGTTTTGGTTTCTTTTGGAGACAGGGTTCTCTATGTAACAGTCCTGGCTGTCCTGGAACTCACTCTGTAGACCAGGCTGGCCTCAAACTCACAGAGATCTGCCTGCCTCTACCCCCTTGCCCAGAGTGCTAGGATTAAGGGCGTGTGCTACCACCACTGCCTGCTTATTTTTTTAACTACAACATTATTACAGCCTAGAATTAGAGCCTAGTGCCCCATGGATGTTTGGCAAATAAATGTTAACTGTGTAACTTACTGAGGTCATGCCTGGTGACAAAAAGCCCTCAGGAAAATATGACTTTATGTATCTCATTTTTGTAAAGTATAGTTGTGTTTTGAAAATTAATACATGTGTAAATTTTTTAATCTTATCTACCCCAACTACCTCACTCTAATTGACCCTGTGTCCCCATCAATTTCCTGTGTTTTTTCTTCTTCTTCTTCATCATCACTATCCCACTGTACTAACTAATAATGACCATGTGTAAATGGGGGTGAGGCCATTCACTGGGGCATGGATTACCTACCAATGGCCACATCCCCAAAGAAAAATGACTCTCCCTTCCTCGAAGCTACGAAGTGCCAGTAGCTGCTCAGCTAAGGCCGGGGACGCAGGAGCACTTCTATCTATAATGGAATTTCGACTGGTTTGTTCTTGCGCAGGTCTCATGTAAATATCTCTCTTTAAATACCATCCCATACACCTTCTATCAGCAAGTCAAGCCAGCTATATAATCAGAATACACTCCGTAGTTTAATGTGACCCTATTGTGTTACTGAATGCTAGGCTGTTTCTCCCACCTATAATTTTGTACCTCTTAACCAATTTACTGTGTGTTCCAAATGGCCGGAAGAGTGTTTAATGCTCTCCACACAAAGAAATGATGAATATTTACAAGGATGGATACACTGATTACTTTATTCATTTTTGTATGCATGTCAAAATATCATGCTGCACACCTGAGACATATATATGTTTGATGTGCTTACTTGTGGCTGTAATCTGAGCATGGCCACTTCTTGCTGGCTGCACTGGACCAGCCCAGTCCTAGCTCCTCTCACTTTTCCCCTTGACTCCTCTGCTGGAGCCCCTCTCCCCAGGTCAGAGCTCTCTAATCCCTTCCAGGGGCCTCAGATGACTTCACTCCCCTAAAGCTGTGTCCCTGGCTACAGTCAGTCACTCACAATTGTCTCACATGCTCAGTGTTTTCTCTGCACAATGTCCCTTAGATCTCCCTCCCCCTGACTTGGGTGGACGATTGCTCAGGCCTGCAGAGCCTTTGTATTTGTGATCCTGCTGGAATGTTCTACTTCCTCGAGGTTTAATCTGACACATTCTGAAGCTGTTGGTTGAAATGCCATCCCCTTGGAGAGCCTTTCTTGTGCCCCATACACTCCTAGCCCTGGCTTTCAGACCCATGTCCTGAGCATTCAGCAGACTGAGCTAACATCTAGACACTGCCTGGCTTTCCCACATAAGAAAGCATAAGAGTGCATTCTGGCCTCCTGGGTGCTGCTGTGCCCAAGGGCTGAGTGAATGAGGCTGTGGAGTGGTTCTCACACTGTCTCTTCCTTGTCTGGCCAGGTCCTGCAGATCTGCCCCAAAGACATGAGAGCTGACATTTGTGTGCACCTGAACCGCAAAGTGTTTAAAGAGCACCCAGCCTTCCGGCTGGCCAGCGATGGCTGCCTGCGGGCCTTGGCCATGGAGTTCCAGACAGTGCACTGCGCCCCTGGGGACCTCATCTACCATGCTGGGGAGAGTGTGGACAGCCTTTGCTTTGTGGTCTCAGGCTCCCTGGAGGTGATCCAGGATGACGAGGTGGTGGCCATCCTAGGTATGTACCTGCTGCCCATTATCGATGTACTTCTGGTCCCATACTTGGGGTTGTCTTAGTCACTAGACAGCCACATTTAATCATAGATTGCTCCTCAGGGCAGGCTCATTTCTAGCATCTATTCATCCAGTTGAAGTATCTGCTTTGGGCCAATCTGTTTGAGACAACTAGGTTTTCTTCTCAAGGGGCTGCAGGCCCCTGGGAGAGACGAACAAACAAGCAATCATTCAGAATGTAGCAGAAGGGGCATCTCACTGGGGAGTCAGGTGAGCAGGCTTCCTAGATGACATGGCACCCAAGAAGAAGCCAATGAGTTGAAAATGAGTTAGCATGGAGCAAGGTGAAGACAGGATTCCAAAAAGAGGTGGCAGCCTGTATGACAGAGGCAGGCAGGTGTGATTCACAGGGGTCAACTACAGTCACTTTGTGTGTGGCAAGCACACAGAAGGACCAGGGTAGGAGATGAAGTTTGGAGAGAGTCCATAGACCAAAGGCTCTAGGAACCACACTAAAGGATGTAGATTGTACTGGGAACCGAAAGCAGGGAAGGGGCACTCATCAGGTTTGTATGTTTGGAAAATGATGGCAGGTATAGGCTGGACTGCAGGGGCAGGGAAAGCAGGTGGGAACTATGTTATCTAGGGGCTGAATGAACTAAGATGTGGGTTGAGGTAAAAAGTAGAATGTAGAGAATCCAATGACAGGTTTGCTGTTAGGAGAGGGAGAAGTCAATGGGGATGGTAGAGTTTCTCATCTGCATAACACCAGAGCTAGTTCACCATATATGGCAACATGGCAACAAGGAATGTGAGTGGGGGGATGCATGGGGACATGATGGTATTTGAGAGGCTGACCATTAGCAGCCTTGGAGAAACTTTCTGAGGCAGCCACTAGTCTAATTGTCATTATGGACATTTGCTTGGTGTCCTGTATATACAGTGCAGATGGATCCCCATTTAACCCTTACATACAGAAACCCTGCAAAATAGCTTTATTATTCCCAGTTTTTAGGTGAGATGACAGATGTTCAGAGAGGCTAAGGAAATGTCTTTATAGTAGTTGAGGCCCATGGAGTCCCATCCCAGCATCCATCCTTGGGGCTTCAACCCCTCTGCTCCTGCCCAGGGTTTGAACTGAAATCCTAATGAATGAGTGGGTCCTGGATGTGTGTTTTAGGTCAAAGTGTGACTGCTTTCTCAGAGAACTGAGAGGGGTGAGATGCAATTACACTGCTGTTAGAATGAGGAGGCTGACTATGGAGTGGTGGATGATACTTTTAAAGCCTGATTTTTGTTCCTGTCTGATTTCAGAGTACCTGAAACACAGCTTCCTTCTTGCTCCTGGGGCACCTTGCTAACCTTGCATTTTGGTTATGCTGCTCAGGGTAATCCAAGGATGATTTATATTCCTTCAGCATGTGCTGGCAGATGGTTGGGGGAGTCTTTTTATTCTGGGTTGGGGCTGAAGTCTGTCTTGTCTGCTGGGTACCATGGAGCCCATGGAGCATAACAGCCTCATCCTACTGTCCCTTGCTCCCTCATCTCAGAGAAGGGAGGCTGGGAGCCAGACACAGGAGTGGGGAAGACATTTTTGTAGTGTAGATGAAGGAAGGGGTTTGTATCTCTGCCTTTAAATTCACCAATGAGGGCATTGGATTAGCCAAGATTCACCAATGAGGGCATTGGGTTAATCAGGATTTACCAATGAGGGTGTTGGGTTAGCCAGGATTCTTGGAGTACTAAGAGAAATTGCTGAGCAAGCCTTTGAATCTGGATTTGAGATAGCCCTTTGGGGTCATGTATCTTGGACCAATTTCCTCACAGATCACTCACTATTTTCTCTTCCAGGAAATACATCCTGAGGCCTGGTACTATCTGCCTGTGTGCTCATGATCAGAGATGTATTATTATTAATTAATTAAATGTATTCATTTATTTTACATCCTCTCCTCCCATTCCCTCCTCTCACCTTCCCTGTACACGCCCTGCCATCTACTCCTCCTCTGTTCTCTGTTTCTGTCCAGAAAGGGTCAGGCCTCCCATGGTTGTTAACAAAGCATGGCATATCTGTTTGAGATTGGACTAAACTCCTCCTCTTGTATTAGGACTGGGCAAGGCAACCCACTATGAAGAATAGGTTCCTGGAAGCCAAAGTGTTAGGGACAGAGACCCTGCTTCTAACACTAGGAGTACCACAAGTAGACCAAGCTACACAACTGTCACACAGATGTAGAGGGCCTAGGCTGGTCCCATGCAGGCTCCCTAGCTGTCGGTCCAAAGTCTGTGATCTATGAACCCAGGTTGGCTGTTTCTATGGGTTTCCTTGTGATGACTTTGAACCCCCAGCCTCCTGCCTCGTACAATCCTTCCTCCCTTTCTTCAGTAGGAATCCCCAGGCTCAGTCCCATGCTCAGCTGTGGCTGTCTACGTCTGTTTCCATCAATCACTGGATGAAGGCTCTCTGATGACAATTGGAGTTGTTACCAGTCTGATTACAGGATATGCCAGTTCAGGCTACCCTATCCACTACTGCTAGGATTCTTAGGTGGGATCATTTTGTAGATTTGTGGGAGTTTCCTTTGCATCAGGTTTCTAACTGACCCCCAAAATGCACACCTTCATCAAGACATCATGGCAACATGAGAGATTGGGTTGAGGGGCAAAAGAAGAGTAATGACCAGAGATTTTTAATGCCCTGCCATAGATTTAGGTGTGGAGGGACAGTAGCCTTGAAGAGAGATGAGAAGGGCACTCCCCATCCTCTCCTCCTCCCTGCTGATACTGTCCTTTTTAAGAAGCAGCAGCCCCACAACCTGGTTGATTTGACAGGTTTACTGCTTCTCCAAATCTAGTCGTCTGGGCATCCTGCCTGTTCCAGTTAGCAGTATGGTTGGACCTCAAATATAGCTCAGCAGTTTCATATTCAAAATGTTGGTTGTTCTCAAGATGTCCAGGCTAGAAAAAAAAAAAAGCCTCCTCTATGCTTCCCAAGAGCCAGTTGGGCCCCAAAAGTAGGTCCAGGCTTGATATCCTAAATAACTTGCCAAAAAACTTTTATTCTATAAAAGGAGATGACAAGTTCTTTGAGTCAACCTGTCCTTTGGGCCTCGAGGCATACAACATTCCAAGCTGTTTATTCCCTGGAAATACACTTGGGCCTTTTTATTTTATTTTCCATATCGATCCCAGTTCCCTCTCCCTTCCTTCCCTCCCTACTTCCCTCTTCCCCTCTCTCCCACCCTCCCATGCCCTCCGAATATCCTCCATCCCCCCATTCCACATGTAGGGTGATGCCTTCCTAGAGGGGTCATCTAAATCTGTCAAGACATTTGGGTAGGGACTAGGCCTTCTCTCCTGTCTCTAGGTTAAGGGAGTATCCCTCCATGGGAAATTTGCTCCCAAAGTCCTTTTGTACACCAGGGATACATCCTGGTTCCACTGTCAGAGGTTCCTTAGACTGCCCAGGGGGTCTGAGTCAGTCCAATGCTGGCTTCCCAGCTATCAGTCTGGGGGCCCATTAGCTCCCCCTTGTTCAGGTCAGCTGTCTCTGGGTTTCTATAGCCTGGTCTTGTCCTCCCTCTCTGAATCTGGATTCCAGTTTGGCTCAATGTTTAGTTATGGGTGTCTGCTTCTGTTTCCATCAGCTACTATGATGGTGGATAAGTTAGTTATCAAATCTCATTATCAGGGAAGGGCATTTATGGTAGCCTTTCCACTTTTGCTCAAATTGTTAGTTGGGGTCAGTCTTGTAGGTCTCTGGACATTTCTCTAGAGTCAGTTTTCTCTTCAAACCTATAATGGCTCCCTCTTTTATGGTCCCTCCTCTCTCTTCTCTCATCTATTCCTCCCCTGACTCAATCTTCCTAGTCCACACTTGGGCCTTTTAAAAATTCCTTTCTCCTTAGAATAAGCTTTTCTTACGAAGTTTCTTCTTACGAAGAGTTTCAGCATCAAATGGGGCTGCGAACTAGACCATCATTGGCCTCTGACACCCTTAGTTTAGTCTTGCCCAGAATTGTTGAACAGGAGCTGTCATGAGTGGGACGCTGTGGCAACTAAATCTTATCCCAGCCATCAAGAGCTGAGTGAGGAGCAACTGTCCCTAGACAGCTGCCACTCTGTCACGGAGAAGATGAGGAATGTTTCTAGGGGATTGTGGGATGAATAGCTACTGAGCAGTGCTGTGTGCCCCTAAGGAAGGGAACTATGCCAGTGTTCAAAGCAGGAGGCTGTAGAGAGAACACTAGGATCTGCTGCCCTCACCCTCATCTCTGGTCTCCTGTTGCCAGTTCACACATTTGCAACCTGCTGATGTGGCCTCTCCCTTCCGTTATACTATCCCATCCCCATTTCCCATTTAACTTTAGTGCAAAAATCCAAGAACAAGGAGAAGGGTCAGTATTCATGACTGAGCAGGCTCAGCTTGTGCCCAAAATAGAATCCCTGCCCCTCAATAACTCTAGACTTTTTGTGACAGCCACCACAAAATAAAATGCTGATTACATTGCTAACTGATGAACACACAGTGACTTTAAAACTCTACTCACCATGCTATAGGAAATTCAGCCTCATGTTTTCTATTAGAGTCTCTTCTCTTTTGCTTAAAAAAATTGAACATGGTAACCTAGTAAATCGGTTTCTTGACATGATCAAAGGTTACAATTGGAAAGTGTGGCCCCCACGAGCCGTGACAGTTTCCAAATGAAAGCATGCTGTCCCCTGAAGACAATGATAGTGCTAGGTAGAACTCTCTTATGATCCCTCCTCTGCCTTGATTTTGATGTGACATCACCTTATTTCCTTCTGGAATTCTCTTAGAAGTCACTTACTGGCTTTTCATATGTGCAGTTGTTATTGTTTTACCTTATCATGATATTTATTTTTAATTTAATTAAACCATTCCCCCTTCCTCTTCTAATTCCTACTTCTCTCATGCCAAATCTCCCTATTCTTGGCCTGTAACCATTGTTGTTACGTGTACATATAAACGAACAAGCATAG